GGGCGCCGCCTGTTCCCCGACCCTGCAACTCGGGCTCCGATTCCTCTCGTCGCTCCATTTTGTCTCCCCGGCCGCGCACGGTCGCCTCATGGAAGGCCGCATTCATGGCCCTTTGTATCCCGCGCGCCCAGTTTCCTGGGCTCCTGCTCGCGTTTGCGACAGGTTTCGGCGTGGCGCCTTCTTCCTCCTCTCACGCTTTGTGAAGGCGGCTTCGGTGTGGGCACGTTTGCAACAAGTCCTTTGACTTTTGCACCATCGATCGTGTTTCAAAGTCGGTGCGCGGGCCGTGCCTCGGTGGTTGAGGTCTTGCAGTTCATCTGAGGCCCAGTTGTTGTTGGCTTTTGTGATGAAAATACCTGTGAAGATAGATGGCCTGAGCCAAAAGGAAGACTTGGAAGCGTGTTGGTTGGATGGGGGGAGGGGGGAAGATGGTAGCTCACCGAGAGGTAAGAGGAGTGATTAAAATAAAGAACGTTCACCCGAATTCTTTTAGTATAGTTTAAAAGGTTGTAAATAAGACCCGATTTTCAAAAGCAAATGTAAAATGCCCTCCGAGGGATCTGTTAATTTTCGTTTTGAAAGGTTGGAGAAAGTGAGAATGGAAGGTTTTTCCGGTATCTCTCAAGCCACAGTTGCCTAGAAGAACTAGCCGCGGAGCTGTGATGTCTGATGTTGGGCATCCTTGCAGAAGATCTCGTTTGTTACTAGAGTAGTGACGTGTGAGCTCTAAGCCTGCTGTTCACATCTTTACTGCCTTTATGTAGTAACACATTTTTAAAAATTAAATTGTGCCTAATTGTAGTGCACCTAAAAGCTTGATTTTTTATATTCCAGGTCCGTAAGAGAAGCTTGATACAATTTTAGTGGTTAATGTTTTTTCTTTTTTCTTTTTTCCCCCCACTACATTCAGGACTTTATTTCTGACTAGGGGCTCAAGATTTTTTTAAAATGAGGGAAAGCTAGAAATCCTTAACTGTTCTTGTTTTCAGGAATGACTTTGTGCCTCTGGTTTAAGTATTAGAAAAGAAAAACATTTTTCAATTAGCTTTAAATGGTTGCTACTCCGTTAAAGACTGGGTATTGTAATCAAACGTTAAGTTTTAAAATCTTAATTCTTTTTGTTGTGTTTATATTTTAGAACTGTGATGACTGAGTTGTGTCAGTGGCAAATTAGAAAATTATCTCGGGCACTACAATCAGATGTTAATGCTTTTAAGATCAGTAGACAAAAGACCTCTAGGAAATTTCTTTTTATTTATCAAATGGATATAACATTCCATCCAAAAGAGGGCCATACCTGAAAGTAAAGGAGCAGTTAAATGTTCAAGACTGTCTTCATTAGCTTTTCTTACATTTGCTTTGCCTTTTCCCCTATGATAAAAGAAGAATTTGGGTACAGTTTTAGAATTTGAGCTTTCTTCAGGACCTCTTCATGAAAGATTTTTTTTAGGCTTTCCCATACTTAATTTGGGATGGCCATTTGTCTAATACATATAGCTGGAAGGAGTGATACTTGCTTATCCTGTGCAGTAACTAGTGCTGACTGAGCAGGAGGTGGGAAGAGATTAAAATTTTGTGGCCCTGATGAGGAACTATTTTATAGGGTTCTCTTAAAAATGTAGCTTTTTGTTGACTTGAACTTACAGCATTTTATCTCTCACATGGTTGTATATTTTACCAGTAAAATCTTTATAGTTTTGAATAGATTAATGGGATTAAACAGAGGCTTTGTTTTTGTTATTATTTTAC